AAGGTCGCGCTGGGGGGCAGCGCGGCGGGGCCGGGATCGGGAAGAGGGGGGGGGGGGCCTTCCCCCCTCGGCCCCTCCCCTGGGCGTGGTCGTTTGACGGGAGGGGGGGCCTCCTGCCCTGCGGGCGCCGCGACGACGGGGCGCGTGGGGGCCTCCGGGTAGGCCCCTTTCACCGCCTCCGGGGGGGTGTAGAGGGCGAGGAGGGAGAGGGGGGGGGCGGCAGGGGGATTCGGGGAGCCCGGGCCGCCACGCCGCCGCGGGCGACGGCGCCACGTCAAACCAGCTACGGACCTTCCCGCGGTGCGCCCGCACCCGTTGCTCGGCCTCCGCGCTGACCGCGCCATCGGTCGCGTACATCGTCCGAGATGTGGAATACGAATCGGGGAATCTCTAAAAAGGAAAGAAAAACACCCCTGCCCATGCAAAAAAAAAAAACAAGAATCGGAAAAAACACTTGCCTGTGATGTGGTCTAGAAGAAATCGGGAGGGGAGGGGGGGTATACACACTAATAACCATCATACTTGATTTAATCCTCTCATGCACCTTCCCTTACAAGGGAACCAAACATACCGAATTGTAACTCACAATGAGTCTCACAAATAAGCAACATCGGGAGTCCACCGTGGACTTACCACCTCGCTCAACGAATACCCGCGAAACAAGCTACCAGTTTTTTTCCTTCTCCAGTTTCTCCTCAATCTCATCCAGCCGGAGGGTGATGTAACAGATGCTCCTATTCGCATGTTGCACCGTCGCTTCGTAGCGAGACCGAATTCCTCTCCAGCGGCGCATGAGTCCCTCGAAGCGGGAGCGGTTGGAGTGCGCAAATCGGAGTGCATCGCGTAGGTTCTTAACGCCTTTATCGGCGTTTTCGTGCTTCGTTTGGGTGTCGCCAGGGGCGTCCACCGCCCATCGCCGCCACGCCTCCTCTTCCGCCGCACAGCTTACGCTATGGGTAGGCCACGCCTCTAGGAGCCGCACGAGATTCGCCTTTTCATGGCTCGAGGCTGCCAGTACGTCATCATCGTCGTTGAAGAAGTTTCGCAGCTTGCGAATCAGTGCTTCTAATTTTCGCGTTTCCTGCTCAAGCGTCCCCGCGTGTTGAACCTGAAATCTAAAGGCGGAAGCCAATTGCTGTATTTTTTTTAGCCTGTGATCACCACTTTCACATTCGCCTTCCTTATTCCATTCTCGCGAAGTTGCCGTCTTCACGCTCGCATTGTCGTCACCGAGGTCTAACAACGGTGCTTCGGGATCCCCATCACTTTCTAGCTCACCATTTGGAGTGATGCGATCTAATTCATCTGAGAGAAGGTCTAACCCTGTTCGGTTGCGGAGCTCGTCCAGTAAAGCTTTAACAGACTGAACCTTTTCCCAGCGCAGTGGATGCTCCTCGGCAAGTTTCTTCGCCTGAATGGTCTTGAACAGCCGCTCTTGCTGTAACGTGCTTAGGAATTGCTGCAGCGACGGGGAGGGGAAGATCGAAATACTCGCCGACGAAGTGGACGTTGACTGGGGTTCCTTCTCCTTAATTTCCCCTTTGCTTTCGACAGGGATATCACCGTTATCACCTTTCCTATGTGCATTTGGCGAATCCAACGCTTCCACACGGTGAATGTTTGCAAGCTGCTGAAAATCCGCTTTCAAAGCCGTGAGGGCAGCATTGAGATTGTCAACGATATCTCTGCAGAGGGAGGTACTACTACCGTCGAAGTTCATCGAGCTGGCCACAGTACTGCAGTGTGGCCGCAACCCTGGAGGCGTTGTGTCCATATTTACCTAACAATTATAATAACTATAAAGAAAAACGACTAACACCCTAAATATTTAAACCCAGCTTATCTCTCCTGAATATCATATAAAGATATATATATATATATATATATATATGGAAAAAAAACGGATAGCTTGCTCGAATCTACATTGGGTTGGTCTTCTGCCTTTTCGTGTTGTTGTGATCCCAGTGCACTGACGCGCATCCAGAATACGAGTTTGGACAAAAAAATTATCAGTCTTTTCCGTATCATTTGTCTGAAGTCAATGCATAAAAATTAATTTAAAAACAATAAAAGAAGAATTCTATGTCAAAAGCAACGTGTGAGAGGTGGAGAAGGCGGTGCACACCGTCCATATCCAAATCGTAAGGGGCTCACCCGGTCAGGATTTCCGCTCTCCTCCTCAAAACACTAGGCTTTTTCTGATTTTTTAGATTATCATTTCGACCTTTCCGTGATCTCTCAATGAGCTGCGTTGGAGACGGCCTTTGTGCCCTCCGCCATGGCGTGCTTGGCGAGCTCCGCGGGGAGCACCAGACGGACGGCCGTCTGCAGCTCACGGGCTCCCAGGGTGCGCTTCTTGTTCACCCGCACCAACGTTGCGGCCTCCGTCGCAATGCGCTCGAAGATGTCGTTCACAAACGAGTTCACGATCTTCGTGGTGCGGCCGCTCAGGCTCATCTGCTTGTTAATGGCTTTGAGGGAGCGATTAACGTACACGTTCCAGCTGCGCTTCGGCTTGCGGTGGGAGGTGCTGGCGCGCTTGGCTTTAGGATCAGACTTGGGAGTGGCCATTCTTACGAGTGTAGAGGTGGTTTGGTGTGGGACGTGTGAAGTGGTATGATAGCTTAATTTCGACGAAAACGGCAGATCTTTCACATTTCGATTCAAATGTATAGGAGGGAGAGGAACAAAGATGGGAAGTTAAGCAACAGTGGATAACAAAGGAGTCAATACTTTTTTTTTTGAGTAAAGGGAATCCATCTCTATCCTTGGAGGCTATTCAAACGAATAGAATTTTTGACATTACTATGAAATGCATGCAAATATACACTGATATCCCATTAACAGGATTAATACTTTTCACCTTTCTACGTTGACTTCATACATATTTCCGCTTGGGACTGCATTCAGCTTCAAAAACATGTAAGGTTGTCGGTAGATATAATACTTAAGCAAATACAATCTGAAAATCGATTCTCTATCTTATCTGAACAAAGAAGCACTACATTATTTGATTTTTCAACAATTATAGATTAACCAAATACATATATGTACTTATTTTAACTCGTTGGGATCGATTCAAACTTCTTTGATTCTTTTCGCTACTTTTTATGCATTCAAGAAGTCATCATCATCGTTAGAGTCCGAGGTAAACATTATCAAGCACATACCTAGAAAGGACATGCCGCTACACCAAGTGAGGAGTAACGCTCCTACTGAGATGTTGTTGGTATGGTATAGAACCAAAGCTAGCAACGGCCCCGAAGCCAGGCACACCCCACTGAGGAACAGACTCAGCGAATTGAAGGAGGCCTCATCAAAATCCATAATGTTATATTCCCACTGCTTCACAGCCAAATTCAAGGGAATTATGGCAAGGCAGTATAAAATAAAGCATATAAGCGGCCATGCATTGCGTTGGGATGCCGTTGTGCAGGCCAATATTACAAGGAAAACAGACAGCACAAAGAAGAGAGCTGAACCAACAAGGGATCGTAATTGTGCCATTGCTACTATATTATTATTATTATTCACAGTATTTTGACAATGTACCTTGCAATCTAAGTATGTTTCTCTTTTTTTTACTATTCAGGTAATTTAGAAGATAATAATTGGGAAGAGTTAACTTCTCAGACGTCGGGGGTACATAATCTAACGACGCATCCATCCCCCTATAGATCACATTTTGGGTATTGTTGCTATTAAACGAAGGAATACCTATGCAACAGATGGATACTTCCCTTATCGTCCATTTGGTATCCCACAATAAATTCGACTAACGTGAGAGTGCCCCCTCTCCGGTGACCAGACGTATCACCTCCACCTTTACTTCCTCCAAAAAGCGTTTTTTCTCTTCCATAGACCGCAGCCTCTTACCAGTTTTCACCACGCTTAAGCACAAGATGATCGGTCGCTCCTCGCCGTATTTCCTCACGCTGTGTACGATCTTGCTCGCGAGGAGGTTCGTGAGAGGATCGTCGCGCACCCCCAAAAGAACCTCACATCCCAGCGAGGGGATCTCACCGTCAAGGAAAAAACCGCCCGATCCTGCCAACAGCCCCGCATCGTGGCGAAGAATCACCCCAGGGCAGCAGTTTTCGTCTTCGGTAGCAAAAATCCATACCGCATCGAGAAAGCCTCGCGCGGAGAGGTGCATCGTAAGCTTCTCTAGCTTTTTTCCCCCTTCCTCTTCGTCATGGGAGAACACGTAGCTACTCTGCCGCATCTTACAAGGGGCCGTGGTGGAGACCACGTTGCCGTATGAGGGCTCACTATTTTGCATAAATATATGAATATGTATATGAATATACTCACTGTACTATAGGCTATTCCTACTACGACACGAGAATCGGTTCTTCTTGAATAGAAAAATCCTTTCCCGGCTGTATTTTTCGTTTTACTTTCCTGAATTGGCGTGAGAGACACATAAGTGCAAGGTGAGAAGAGATGAAAGGAGACAGGAGTGGGAAGGGGAAGGGGAGGAGAGGAATGTCTGAGGGAAGACTACGCAGAATATCGACTGCATTCCTCTCTTAGAACAATCTTAAGTTGATCGCACATGTTGGCACGAAATATGAAAGTCGTCAACCAGAAAAAAGGAATTTAGTATAACAGAGTTTAAGTTGCAAATAATTCAGCTCACACAGAGTTCTATTACTTAATCTTTCTTTTCTCAAGAGTACAGCTTTTTTTTTTAAATAATAGGAAGGACAAAGGTATCGATTAAGCGAAATTAGCGAGAAATGGTGTGCATTTCGGACCGTACCGCATTTGAGTGGAAAAAGAGGGGCGATACACATTAGGTTGAAAGGAAGATCATTGGAATAGAAGCAGATGAGGAACGAGTCGCATATAATCAACCTAAGCTTTCAGATAAATGTCTATGATAACAGCATTGCTATTCATATATTCCTTTTGTTTTGAATGCAAATACATATTCATGCATACACCCATATATAAATACATAAATATGTATATATTTATTTATATATGTATCTACGACCTGATTCAGTTCTCAAGCGCCTTGGCTATAAAGAAATCACAGAGATAGGACTCGATTGTCTTCCCTGGAGATTTCTCCACGCAGAGCGGGTGGTGATCGTCCCCGTCGTGGGTGTATATCCATACCTTTTCTCGGTAGTTATGCAGCAAGTTACCCACCACCGCATCGCTTTGGTACTTATGTAGGTTCTTCACCGACTTCACCCGCATCTCCGCCTCATCTGTTTCGAGTTTAAAGGATACAACGTAGGGCTGTGGCCGCACCGCCCCAGTGGAGTCGGGGGAGGGGGTGGTTTCGCCTTCCACACTGCCCTCGCTTCGCTTTTGACGCCGCAACCAGGATGTTTTGAGCGCGTGGAGCATTTTAGGAACGTTCTCCAGCCGCAAGTGGAGCCCATCCCCCCCGCTGATCTTATGCAGGGCTTGCTGGGCAAGTGGGACGTAGTAATCCGCGACGGCGGCGGCGGCGAAGCAGAGAAGGGGGCGAGTCGGAAAGGCCGCGTCGTCGCATAACTCCCGGGAAATCTCACGAAGCAGGTAGAGGTACTCCACGACGGTATCAAACGGGATGTGGAGGAGAAGATCCCGGGCCCGTGTGAAGCCCTCGCAGGCGGCGGCGAGGCCGTCGTTTTCGTCCGTTGCCGTTTCCTTCCCGTCGTCGTTCGGGCGGCGGAGTTGCGCGAAGAGGGCCTCGTCCGGGAGGGCGTCGATGACGCGGCGGAAGGGCCGCGCGCGCCGCGGT